TCTGGAGCCCTTTCCCTGAGCTTGTGGGCGAACGTGGTCACGTTTACACCCCTAAGGGCCCCGTCTCCTCTGAGGGCGGCTGGAGGGCGGCGTGGGGGGCCCTGCGGGAAGGAAGCGCAGGGACAGGAGGGCAGCTGCCTGTACAGCTCCCGCGGGCGGCCCTGGATGAAACCCCTGAACGAGGAGGGGGTGTGGGCTGGGGGGAGGGGGTTCGCCGGGCAGACTGGGCAGGTCGCAGGTGTGTCCTGGCCCAAAAGGCGACCGACCCGTCGGTTCCTCGTGTCCGGCTGCCGTCTGTGCGTTTCCTCTCCTCCCTCCCTTCCTTCCAGTCAAGGGGCGGCCGGGCCGCTGCTGCCTCCGCTCCTGAAAGGGGGGCCTCAGGTCTCAGAGCGAGAGTGAGGGGCTTCCCCCACCCCCACACGGGCACCAGGCCCAGCAAGTCCCTTCAGCCGCCCAGGGGCAAGGGGGGAGGGCAGGAGGGACAGGCAGGAGGGGGGAGGGCAGGAGGCATGGCACATTCCAGGGGCCTGTCTCACCCGGGCCCTGGCCATCCCTCTGTTGTGATTCTAGGGGATGGAGCCAAGGACTCGCTGCTAAATAAACCCAACCCTCTGGGGGGGGCTGGTCCCCGACGGCATGTTTGTGCTGCAGGTACAGGCTGTTCCACAGGCCAGTGCTCCGTCCTCCCCATCCCCACCCCCCACCCCCAGCTCCCCTGAGAGACAAAAGCCTTTCCACCAACCAGGCCTCGCCCTCCCTCCCTCTTACACGTGAAGGCACGCCAGCCCCTGAGGTCCCCGCTGCTCTGAGGCCTGTCCTGGCTGGTCAGTTCGCTCTCGTGTCTGCTCTCAATGGTCCTGCCTCCCAGCTCCTCCAATGTAGTGGGGGGCAGTGCTCCCCAAAGCGGCCTGGGAGCTGCAGGACGTGCCCCTTCCTCAGGGTCTGTGGTCACAGCAGGTCACAGGGTCCTAAACTCCCCGCTTAGAACAGGTACTGGCTGTAGAGGCCCCGTGTCTGGGACCCGCTGACCTCCCTGGAGGCGGGGCCAGCCCCTGGGGGGGCAGGTGAGGCCCTGGCCCGCAGGCCAGGATGCTAGGGGGGTGCAGGTGGGGGGTGCGAAAGCTAGTGACCAGGATGATAGATATTTTCATGAAATTGTAAACAATCAAAGTAATGCAAAAAGCCTCCATGAACCCAAATTCAACGTTGTAAATACAGACCGGACCTGGGTTAGGGACTTGCCCTTTGGCCTCGGTCCCAACATGGCTGAGCGGGGCCCCGCCTGGACACAGGCCTAAGTCTCGCGGGAAAGGCGCCCTGGGGAGGGCCTGCCGCCAGGTGTCCCCGGGGCCT